TTTGCTGAAGTGAAATTTCTTGTTGTAACAAGTCGTCCTACAGTGCATTCTCACCATGGTCTGATCTACATTTAATTGATTAAACTGAAATTATTTCTTTGTTAATTGAGATTAGGCATTGAAATGCTTTTACGTTTTCAAAAGATTGCTACAGTCCTTTCACTGGTACTGCCCACATAAGTGAACAACTACCAAAAACTGCATGAATACAAGCATCCACATGCATACCTTTGTTGGCATGATTTAGTTAAATTGTACATCGTTGACTCAGGCTGTGTATATGGTCAGGTGTAACTTGGCTTTTCTTTCTCTTTTGAAAAACTTGCCAGCACAGGCATCATACGGTATCCTATGCAATCTTATCTGCCTCTGACACTCCAGTGCAAGTAGCTGGATGAGATATATTATAAAACACTCTTATCATTTTCTGTGCTTCATCTGTTTGAAGACTGCTTAACCTTTACAGGGGCATTTGTTAGGCCTTCATCTGTGGAAATTTTTCAAAATTTAATGGCATAGAATATTTCTCTCATTTACGACTTCCATAAAAACTTACCACAAATGAGATTTTGTTCTTCTAAGACAGGAAAAAGAGAATAAGAACCAAGAGATCAAAGAAGATTAGAATACTCAGTTACTTTTTACTAGAAAAGAGGTGGTAGACGAGTGGATAAGGAAGAAGGATGAGTGCATTCATGTGATGAACACAGTTGCCCTTATAGAAACCTGAAGGTGAGCTCAGGTAATGATGGTGCTAAAAAGTATTCAGTTCCTCCCAAGGTGAAGTGAGCAGTCATGCAGGAAAAAGTGCAGCGCAAAACTAGAAAAGAGAATCAGTAGAACTTGTGAAAATACTACCTTATTTTCTGTAACTGAGCATCTATTTCTAGCTCTGGCTAAGTATGGAGAGGAGAAATCCAGTTACTAATTTGTCAACCACTTTAAACCTTTCTTTTCAAAGCATCTTAATGTACCAAAATACTTCTTATTGTACTTATCACAAGGATAGCTTCAATATTCTGTCAATCATATTTGCAGCATATGTGCTCTGTTGCAGCTTTTCCCCTCCAACATTTCTTATAAGCATTCTTTTCAGAGAAACCCATGTTTATCTATCTTGTGTGTATGCACAGCATCTACTTCCTTCCCTCCATCCCTTACATATGTTTCCTCGCAAATGAATGTCATTCTTTAACTCTGGTAGAACACTGAGGTTTACATTGATAGGTTTTTTTCTATTGAAGTTTATATTCAGACCTGTTTACTAAGATAGGTCTGATCATAGTTAGTTTGCTATGCAGAGTGCATTAACTCAAAAAAAAACCCTGCATTTTTTATTCGTGATGAAGATAGTCTGCAATTACATAACGTAGTACTTAGCTGTATTTTCTATGGACCCTGTACATTTCTTTGTAGCTGCTGAAACTGCAAAAGTAAGCTGAGAAGATTAAACCTAATCATTGGAAGTTGAGAAGAGTTGTAGATTAAACTCATTCTTAGCCAAAACTGTCTGATACAGATCTGGTGTCCTGTATTGGTGAAATTCAGCTCACATTATCTAAATAAAGAAATGTACAACCTGTGATATCTTGGTTCTCCTAGTAAGAACATAAGCTACAAAATATGAAATTATGTTTCAAATATAGGGACATACAGACAAGCAGTTCAGCAATTCAGCTACCGCTCATTAACATTCAGTTATTATTTCAGAAGTAGTCCAGACCAACATGCATAAAATGTTACCATCTGGCACATGTAATCACTGTGCTGTACTTCAAAAAGGAATGAGAATAGCTACCACAACACTACAGACCTATAGACTGGACTTTTTTTTAGTTTTTTTTTTTTGTTTTTTGTTTGTTTTTTAATAAAAACTGCCCAGAGTCTGTAAAATAAACATTTACTCATTAGTAACTCGCCTATGTTGCAGGAACCAGCACTGAGACTGGTGTCAGTCATTAGTATCAATAGATTGCCCTTCTCATCCCTCTAAAAACTATCTTACATATACCTATTACAAACTGCAATAGGTAAAAAATCTAAGGGACTACAAGAATGTAGATTGGTTCTGTTGTCTTCTAAACACTTCTAAAGACCCCACTGAGAAAAATAAATGCTCTTGAGCCATTTGCCAATGTTATTGTGTGTTATAGCTTTGATTAATAATTAAGTTTGTATTAGAAGAAAAATCCCAGATGTCACTGTTTTTCATTCTGCATTTTGATGGCATGAAACACTTAATTCAATAATGCTGCTAGTTGTAATTGCTAGCACAACCTGCACAAAAGAGAAATCTAGTGGAATTTCTTGGTCCTAAGTATTTGCACAAACCCACTCAGAATTCTCAGTTTATATTGAAGCTTTTCATGGTAAATATTAATCTGTACTTTTGTATAAAAAGCATCAAACAATGAAGGGGAAGGAGGAGAAGAGTTCATCTCTAGCACTATGATATATTTGCTAAATTCATTGTAGTATAGACAAATAAACCCACAAAACATTCAATTACAGTTAATCATTGGAAAGTGTAAGAAAACAGTCCACATCATTAATTAGAAAAACCAAAGGAGGAGAGGTGACTCATTCTGGTGTCTGCAGAGCTGATGAGAGGTGTTACTCTCCTGACAGTAAAGGCCTGGAATTCCCAGTAAAATTAAATGGAGCCTATATTGCAATTTCACAGTCATTTTTGTTCTTAATTAGCAGTTGCATTTTGACAGACAACTTGAATGCATGTAATAGATCTTCCCGGTGAAAAAGCTTTTGTTGGAAGAAGAGCTGGCTGGACTATTATTTAAAAGCCACATAAAATCTCCATATCTCAACATAAATGAATGTTTTAAACAGTTTTTCTGAAAATAGAGTGTTGTGCCTAAACGTCCATTAGGCACTAGAAATTACCTTGCCAGTCTTTCACTGTTATGTGACAGACTCTTGTGTATAACTTGCTTTACACCAGTATAGATTTTGCACAGAATCAGTGATACAGAATTCAGTCCTTGACTGTACTTCACTGAACAATCTCATTGAGTGAACCTGTAAATAATGTTGGGATCCCACAAGAGTGAGGATTGCCAATGGTATGCTCTTACATTTTTATTTTGAATGACAGGAGAAATGGTCCGTTGTGGTGTGTCACACTGAGAGAATGTGGTTACACCTTCCTTGTTCGTGCTGTGACAGAGGTAGGTCAGTGCTTTTCCACCCATGCACTTGGTTGTCTTCTGTACTCACTAGAGCAAGTGTTTCAAAGGCAGCTGTTATCCAGATCACTGGAAAGGCAAAGTTTTTAAAAATGTTTTGGTGATTCTGGTTTTTGTTGTTGCTGCTAAGCAGGAGTGTTGAGTTATTTTGTAGAACTATGTCTTACAGCTGTGAAAGAGGGAGACATGAATGGAAAAGGGAAGTGGAATATTCTTGATGTGGATTCACTACCGTTGTAGTGTCAGGTGCTCTCTTCAGCCACTGCAGCACTCAGCTACTAAAAACAAGAAAAATACTTAAATAAAAACTGTTTCTGATTTTTTTCTGCTCTTAATTTGCTTTCCAGATGTCCAAAATTGCTGTTATTCTCTAAAATCCCGTAAGATTAACTTCCTTTGTCTCAGCCCTAGGACAGCCAACTACTCAGCTGTCTTTCCAAGGTCTTTTGTCTTACAATATACTCAGTTTCTAATAGTTCCTATAGGATGACAGTTGTTTCGTAATATCTACTTTTGGTCTCTTTTCTCTAAACATCTGTGCTAGGAGACAGAAGATATGCTGATGAACCAGTGGCCCCTTTTTATTTTTTTCACTAAAAATTAAGCAACTCTACAATCATTAGACAGACAATCATTAGACAGATCTGCTTTTATCTTCTTGACAATCCTAGATTCTGCTATGATGTGAGTTCAAATATTCTTCTTCAGGAGGATCTTGACAGATCTTTCACAAGACTTTTTTCAAAGACAAAGTCAAATGGACAAAAAGCTTCAAGACTACATTAGAGTAGCATTGTTATTGCTGATAATGGATTGGATTTGTATGATATTGTTTCCAAGTACTTTAGCTTACTACTTGTACTACATTGGAGATATTTTGCCAATTTTTCACTGGCAGATAATAGAACCAGAACATATTCCTTGCTGAAACTTGTTCAGGGCTACTGCCTTTGATACTGGCTCAACATCTGCAACACTGGATAGAGAATTTAAGCATGAAGGGGGCATTTACATATGGACCCATGCAAATGCATGTGTTTGTTTTTTGGTGGGGGGGTTGTTTTGTTTTTTTTTTCATTTTTAAAATGAGCAAAGCTGATGATTCAGACATAACCTCTGTAACATGGATAGAAATTCCATGCTTAGCCTTATGTCATGTATTTTTCCTAGCCATAAGGACTTGCTTGATAGTTATGGATCTACATCTGACTGTGGAGCTATGAGTAACACCACACTGTTATTGAAACACAAAGAGTTTATTGAATCTTGCTGTAGGTAAGACTAAGCAGTCATTGCTCTCATTGCCCCCATCTTTCTATTGGTTAAGAGTTTATTTTCCCACCTATTTTTTTTCATCCTCCAATTTTTCAAATGTTTCAATTTTTCTTTATACCTGAAAAGAATTTTGTAATTGCTTGGGATATTACAAATAACAGCATGTAGTCAGAGGCTGCACATCAGAAGTAATTAAATTTCAGAGGCTTCATGGTGTTCATATGCTGAAGAATTTTCAGCAGAGCCTCTTGATTGAATTGCAGAGTGGTAGACAGTCCAGGAGCACTTATAAGAGAATAATGATGTTTCTTACTTCGGAGAAGCTGTGAGGCATAATTGATTTGTCCTTGTATGGCATTTTGAGATCCTAGGATAAGAAGTTACTGGGTGCTGCTGTGACTGCCTGTGAGTAGTCGGAGACAGAATCTACTCACCTTATTAGAGCTGTCCAGAAATCAGAAATATGTATGATTACTCATGGTCAATGAATTAAATCATCATACTAAATACTTACAACCACACAGAGATGAAATTTTGAGGAAGTGAAACAGAACCAAAAGCAGCCAAAAGGGTTTTCAGAGGCCTTTAACTACCTGAAGTAGCAATATTTTTGAATGGCTTTACTGTGGTTTGGTGTAGTCACAATTTTTCAAAGGCAGAAACTCACATTTTATGATTGCATAACCTGAGGCCATCTTTCTTTTGTTGACATTGTGTTGACATCATGTTTAGGTAAAACAACATTTCATAATGGATGGTCTCCATAAAGGATAAAGCCTGTCCTTGTGCATTATTCTTCCTCTGCATTGTGTTTTTAAAGTGAGTTGTTTTGGTGTCAACCTGTTTCATTCCTCATGAAAAAGTGTATTTTTGATTCTCTTGTAAATCCTCCAATTGGTGAATTACTTCTAGAGCTGAGCTTATGTTTTTTTTCCCTTGAGCCTTTTACATTTGCAGTTTGGGGTCCTTGCCCTGTAATTGTATCTGTACATCAGGGAACACTGGCTTCAGTGTGGTTGAAGATGGCCTTAGCTTTCATTCACAGAAACGTGGTTGTTGGTTTGCTTGTCCAGCTTCAAAATCCACCCTGTAACCAGCAGGAAACCAACAGTTTGTATGGTTGTCTTTTCAATATAGCATCGTCTCCCTCCTTCCCATGAGAAGGGTATCCAAGCAGTATCTTCCCTTCCCTCCCCATTTTATAACTGCTAAATAATGCTATTTGAGAACTTTGCCTGTTTGGGGTTTTTTTTGGTGGTTTTTTTTTTTTTTTTTTTTTTTTTTTTTTTTTTTTTTTTGTGAAAGCAAGTGAGATAAATGTATTAATATTTAATCTAAATAATTTGGAAGAACTTGAAGCTACAATTAGATAGCCATGGCCATCTGCTCTGAGCAGAGCAACCATTTATTAAATAACTTGGAAAGAGAAAAGGAGCTGCCAATCACCTATGGAATTATTCCTTAATAAAGCTTGCACAGTCTCTGCAGAGGGAGATCCAGGTGGTGAAGGAGACGCTCCAGACCGTGCTGCTGCAACTTCAGCCAGCCAGGGAGGCAGGGGACGAAAAAGCTGGAGACTTCCTCTGTGACAGCTGGTGTCCAGGAAAGCAGGACTCAAAGGAATAATGAGCAGAAAGAGCTGGTAGGATGACATTAATACACAAAGGGCTGCTTTTAGTAACTGAATACTCTTTTACCAAGCCTCAGGGATCTCTTCCCTCCCTGCATAACTAATAACTAAATCAATTATGGAGAAAGAGAGCCTGGAGGTCTATCATCAGAAGTATTCTACACAGCCTCGCATGTTTTGGCACAGATTGGGAAACAGCTTTCAGAGCAGAACATCCCTTGTAAATGTGTAGATTACAAATTGATACATTTCAAGTGAGTCTGCAAAGTTGCCTTTAATGTCAGTGAAATGTTCTCCTTGAAGACTTGTAAACAGTATCTGTCTTCCTTACTCACGGATTTTTTCCCATTTAAAAAATGTAGTGTTAAAGCTGGAACATCTAGTATTTCTCAAAAAAATAGCTGTAAGAACAAGAACTTGTGTGGGTTTTTTTTTGTTTTTTTTTTGTTCCCCCCCCCCCCCCCCCCCCCCCTTTGGCTTTAGCAGCTTTCTTACACTGAATGTATTTACACATTCCTACCAATAATTAAATCAACAGGATGAAATTCAAGCTAACAGAGTTCTTTTAAGTGAAATTTGAAGCTCATTTACTCAATGGTATTGAGTACAGGAAAGGTAACTAACAGCAGCCCCTACAGCAGTAGTTCAACTGTTTTCATTAGGTATTAATATAAAGTCATTTTAGTATTACAGGGATTGTAAAACACACACAGAATACTTTGTTGGTGATTTGTGCTCCTTTTATTTAAGTATGGTATGACCAATATGTCATTTAAGTTGCCTTGTAAAGTTTACTATTACTGTTGTATTACTTTGATCTTCCTTCTTATAAACTCCAGAAGGAACGCAGATTTTTTTTTTTTTTACTCCTGTCAGGCACATATATATACTTAAACATGTATTTTTAATAGGAAAGAGAAGCAATGTTCCATTGAAGCCAGCTAACACAAGTGACCTATATTTAGATCACTGCTCAAAACAGTTAAATCTTCGAAGGAATTCAGATTGAACACTTGGATACCCAAATGTATCTGATATTATCTGACATCACAAAGTTCTACTTCTGCCATCTAGTGCAGAGGGAGAACTTACAAACAAATTATCACTGGCCTCCTTTTTTAAGCCACTAGAACAAACAAGTGTCTTGCAACTCATTACTGTACTTTCTGATATTGTTAGTATGACATTTTAAAGACTACTTTGTTTCTGCTTCTTCAGTTACACATTTTGTAGCCACATTGGGAAAGTTTTTGCCAGTTTTGAAGGTCCTTGAACTACTGGCCCACTACAACTGTGTTCATTTTCTTTTGTGTGTTTTAATACTGGTTGAAACTTCTACCTCAGTGTTAAGGACATAGGGAAGAAAAAAAGTGCTAGGCAGCTGCCACATACAACCAGATTATGATTGCATACAGGGGCACAGCTCAGGTGTTTCCTGGAATCGTTGGATCCTCAGGATAGAATTACAGCCCTGTAATTCAGAACATGGTCAACTTTTTCATTGTATAATATATGGATCAGCATCTGTAGTGTGGTAAAGAAGCTTGGACCTTTACCTTACATGGACTCCAGTACTGCTCCCACCTCTAGTCTCAGACAGTAGTCTCTGATGCTTTGCTGCTGCTCTTACAGGTCTGTTTCTCCCTGGCAGCTTCCTGCCTCTCCTCAGTATATTTAGCACTTTCTGGAACCAACAAGCACATGGCAGCTTGTGTTTCACCGACATTCAGCTCATGAAAAGCCATGGGGAACCCTGCCTGGGCACAGGGGACACAATTGTTAGACAGAAGATGCTCATGGAAACACACCTGAACATAGGTTTAAAAAAATATATATATATAAATCTCTCCTACTATGATATTAAGGCTGCTTATGGGTTAATACCATAAACTTCCAGTAGTGAGCAGTTACAGGGCTATAAGCTCACTGCAAAGATAGCCCAGATATGCAGTGCGCTAAGACTGCACCGCTCCTCTCTCCCTCATGCTGAGGATTTTGTGGAGCTTTGTCTTTTACAATCCTGAGTGTCTGAAAGCCAAGATCAGCCACAGCCCACAGCTGAGGTGAGAGACTTTCCTCATGGCAGCAGCAACAGGGACTATAACCCACAGAGGGACAGGACAACTGCATTCGTGTTCTCAGTAGTACAATCTTTTGTAGACATTTCCACTCCTTCACTTAAGAAAAAAAAAAAAAAAAAAGAGGAAAGCCAAATCAATCATTCTTATCATATTTGTATGTATTAACATTTATTTTATAATGTGGACTACTATTACTTTAATTTATTATTCCATTAACTTCACCGTTTTTTGTGGGAAGTTAGAGCCAGTAACCATTTCTTCTCAGATATGCTGAATAATAAGAATAATTGGAAAAAAAAAAAAAAAAAAAAAAAAAAAAAAGCACAAAGAAGGTGTACTATGCAACTTACCAGCTGCCTTTTAGCTGTGGATAGAAAGCTTTCAAATAAAGAGAAACATTATTTTAACTAAACAAATGTCTGCCTGGATTCCTTACAGTGCACAAGCATTCACAGATTTCACCCTGGAGAGAGAGGGATGAGGAGGAAAGGGAGGAGAGGAAAGGAGAAAATACGCATGACTATTATTATGCTTTGACAATAGTGATTCCTATGCTTGAGAAATTCATAGAATCATCATAGAATGGTTTGGGGTAGAAAGGATCTTAAAGATCACCTAGTTCCAATCCCTTGCCTTGGGCAGGGTTGCCAAATTTTGTGACGCCTTTTGAAAACAGCCTAAAAATACATTCAAAGCTAGAGTCAGGTGAGCTATACAGACAGGTGTGCCTTCAGCCCTGGATTGCATTAGCCTGCCTGTGCCACTCCCCCTGGAGTAGGGCTGGGTGTAGGGATATATGTCTACATAGCTACAAAACTATCACAGAATCATTAAGGTTGGAAAAGACCCTTAAGATCATCGTGTCTGATTGTCCACCTACCATCAGTATTTTCCACTGAACTATGTCCTTAAGTAACACATCTCCATGTTTCTTGAACACCTTCAGAGACAGTAACTCCACTACCTCCCTAGGCAGCCTGTGCCAATGCCTCATGACTCTTTAGAGAGAAAGTTTTTCCTAATATCCAACAGTTTGAGGCCATTCCATCAGTAGTTTCATATATACATGCTAGGATGCTGTCACCTCCAGGTAGATACTGGTCTCTCACCATCTGCGAACATGCCTTTTTCTGCCTGGCACACATACTCTCCCCAGCTAAGATTCTAGTCCTCAAGAGGTTTGAGGAGTAGGCAAAGCTTTGTGCACAGAAACCTCCACTCCAGCACTGGGAAGTGCAGGAAGAGACACAGCTCACCTCAGCCACAAAAGTGTATTTGCATTAGAGGAGGAGGACTGAGCTTTGTTTAACACCTGCACACACAAACATACCCAAGGGCAGAAAGAAGGATGATGCAAAGGGGACAGGCATCCCCAAGAAGTCTTTAGCTCCAGCCTAATGTTTTTCCTCACTCAATTAATTAATCTGTTCTTTCTGAAGCCTGACATTCAGTCTTTTCCTTTTTCTATGTTACTTGTTAAATCAAGATAAGCACACTTTTTCTAGAGCACTCAAGAAGGAAGTAAAATAATGGCTCCCAGATAGGCAGCAGAGCTGGAGGGAGCTTCAGGGTGAGATTAGAATAATCCTCATGTATCCTCTTAGCTTACTATCCTATTAAAAATGAGACTGGGACCAAGAGATTTTTTTAGTCTCAGAGATTAACATATGCTACAAAGAAGCTCTAAAATATTACGCACACGCGAATATTTTTCTGCACTACTAAAGAGGATAATACAAGTTTCTGGAGAGAGGTATTTAAAACAAGACAAACAAAAAGACACCCTATGGATGCAAGAGATTCTTTCTGAACCTGAAAAGCAGCCAAGCCAGCAGACACAGTAAAGCATTTCTCCTAAATTTCTGATGAAGTCTCAAGTATGACACCTTGGAAAAGAGCATATGAGGTTGGGTGAGTAAAGAAATGTCGTCTTCTTAACATGCATGGCATTCAGTCCCTCTCTCCTTGTTGAACAGGATCTTAAGGAAGGGGGTGTTGGGGCATTGTCAAAGACACAGGTAAAAATCAATACATCACTGGGCTATTTGTTCTTATAATAGCCTGCAAAGTTGAACAAATAGTTCATAATAATAAGCTGCAATACAGGAATACTAAGTGGAGAAAAAGAGAGATAGCAGGAAAATAATCAGAGTGGCAGCTAAAAGATGCATGATAGATCTCACTGTAGAAATGCAAAATTAAAAAGCCTTTCCACAATGACAACCCAATTTACAAGGGGAAAAAAAGAATGTCACATCTATTATTTTTCCAACAAAGAGACTGAAAAATGCCAAAATGCACCCCTCGCGTCTGTCTCACCAAGTAGACACAAACCTCGAGTGTATTGGTTTGCCCCGAAAACACAGAGCTTTGTGTCTACACTCAGGCTTCCCAGTACAAGCAGCCCTAGTGCAGGACTCATAAGCAGCAAACCTGAAGCCAGGCACTTGTCAGCACACACCTATCACAGCTTCTTACTTCTTTTCATCCCTATGCTGCAGGAGTTTTCAGCAGCAGGAATTCTTACAGCAGTAGCTAAATGGTCGCCCACAACTTCCCAAGAAACATGGCATTGCCACTTGCACACGCTGCCTGGTGGACTTCATGAGCACTGCCAGATCTGCTGTCCCCACAGTGTAAAAGCAGATTTGGTTTCAGGAAAGGAGGTACAAGATTGACTCGAAGTTAGGAAAACTCTCTTATTACAAAAGAATAACAGAGCTCAGTATGAATAACTTAGCCTGCTAAATGCCAAGATGTGATCCACTCACGTTCAGGGAAGCCTTTCCAGTGTCTACAGGCTGTTTTGTCTAGCAGAATGCTCCACAAAGAGAAGACAAGGCATTTCTTGCAAGGAGAGAGAATGGCCATTGAAGCAAGAAACTCTGGAAGTTAAAGCTAGAGTTATTTTTTTTCCCAGAAGGTGTG